GACTTGTTAAATCTTGACCTATATGTCTGGGTACAAATGGGTGATTTTCCAGCATGTCACGGGTTAGAAGACCATTCTGGGTAGCAGTTGCAGGCATCACGGTCATGATCAAGCCATGTGGGGTCACTGCGATTGGAAATTCTGATTAGCCACCACATGAGCTCGTATCAACTCTTCACAAATCGAAATGAACATCTGCTTACTGATCAATTCGACAAACTCGTGTACTCTTGAATTCGATATAGTACTCAAGAGAGCAAAAATGCGTGGGTTGGGCGACTTAAATTTCAAAAAACGGCACCTTCAATCATAGTGTAGCAGGGACGGGACACCAACGGAACAACGGCGCCCCCAGACTTGGTGATGTCTTGATTCCCTGTAAAAAGTCGGAACATTTCAGTGGGATAACATCTGGTCATTTAACATAGCTATGGAAGCTACGGCTTGTCTCTAGATGATTTACTTATCAAAACTGGCCCTGTTCCATAACTTTGTTAAAATACCACAAGGTAGATTTGCTAAAGGAGTCTAATTCCAAAAAGGCTAAAAAACTGAGGTCTTGAGTCTTAACCATCCTTAACCAGCATTAAGCAGTATCAGCCAATTGGATGTATAGCTGTTATTAATCCATCCAGCAAATGTGCCCTGATCAAAAGTGCCCGGCGCTAGGAATGTCATCCACCGTCGGAACGTACACGTCCTGGACGGAGTGCAGGGGGATGGCCAAGCCGCGAAAACCGAAAAGTGGAGTTTCTAGTCTTGCACCTCAAGATATCCATAGATATCCAAGAATTATCCAAGATATATATATATATATATACCTCCGGATATATGTACTATTGATATATGGATGGATTTTGGATCATTGAAACTGATGTACCTCAAGACTAAGAAACATCCCATGATCCAAATCATATGAACACATTCGCGATTTACAAACGCCTGCGCGTTCGTTGTTCACAGGTATTTTAAGTCCAAAGCTAGGGAACAGCTCTCTTTTTATCCCCAAACATAGCCCATTATTTTGCGATTGAGCTATCCTTCTATTTTGCGACACGAAACAAAAAAGTGCACTGGATAACTATGACGAACGCGTTGATCCCATGTATAACTGTGGTGTTTTTCTGGCTACCCTGGTCATTCACCACATAGACATAATGTCAACCCTGGATGAATAAACCCAGTTTACGGCTGTTTAATTGGGAAGGTACCATAAAAAAAAAGTATCAAATCATGACTATTGGGGGAATACCCCCATGAAAAAACCTGTTTTCAGGCGCGGCACATCCAAGCACGTCCGAGGGCTGGACTTCTGTGTCGTTCGTCTCATTGGTGAAATTCACCTGCCAAGATCCGAAATTTCTTCCCTGGTGATCTTTGGAAAACCCGTGAAATGTCCCAAGATCATATTAGGTAAACCTAATGCCATAAACTGGTTGGTGGTATACCTACCCCTCTGAAAAATGATGGATTTCGTCAGTTGGGATGATGACATTCCCAACATATGGAAAAATAAAAAATGTTCCAAACCACCAATCATATAAACCATTGATAAATGGGATTATATGGAATACTTATTGGACAATCATGGGATGATAGTGCCATGATCTTTTGGATTTTTGGAGGATAACCAGAATAAACCATCACCAATTTTTTTGGTTCATGAACTTGAGTATACCCCTACTGTTTGGGATCATATTAAAAAAAAAAAACACACGCAGTCAAGGTTGGGATAATTGATTCTTGGGTTTTCCAAATTAAAGCCAGTTCTACATCCAGTCTTATCCCAATCAGATTTCCAGTAACTGGCTGCTACTCAAACCCCGGGGATCCCCAAAAGTGTCATGGGTTTCAATACTAAAATGATCTCATTTTGGACAGGTGGGACAGTGTTTCCCCTTTTCTTTCTGTGAGTCCCAGATTCGCAGATTTTAAGAAATCCAGATTTTCAAAAGCCAACCTCCACTCACGTCAGCACGGGATGTTTGCTGTCTGAGTCGCATCTGAGTCTGTCAAGTTGTCGAGGTCTTGACCATTTGCCTCAGAATACACATTGACGGATTGCTCCCCTCCCACTCGAGATACTCCCTGGGGGAAATTGGGGAATACCTTAAGAGAAATTTGGCACAATTTTCCCCAAAAAACTTGGGATTTTTTGAGCAACAAGTGGAGCAACCCTGTCTAGGCAGATGTGACTGCGCAAAAAATCATTGAACATCAGGTGATGATGGAAACAATCAAGATCTCAACCAAGACAAATGAGCGAACAGTAAAAAAATGTTTAAAAAATGGTGAATTGGACTGAATCCTTCACGTTTGATCCACTTGGAGATGATTAGTCACCTTAGTCCGGCCGTGACACCCGAAAAAAACATCGTGACGTCAGGCCGTGAGGTCGTAAAATACCCAGAATAATGATGAAAATAAGGTGGTTATCTGCAATACCATTGACAATTCCCGAAAAGAATAGTTGAATGAAGCGGACAAATTGAGGAAAGCATCCGATGATCATCCATTTGACCAAGCAAAAAAAAATCTGAACACATGATTAATACCTGCCAAGAAATGATGGAAGATTCACTGGGGATCAGGAGGTCCCCAGATGGACATGGGAAGCAATCAACATCCATCCCATCAGGATTGAGGTCCCCTGGGTCCCCGGGCAACGATGCAAGTGATCCTACAGCCAGCGTCTCCAAGGGATGTGGGGCATGTTCGTCATGTCAAGTCTAGCCCCAAAAAGTGGACTCCGTAATCCCAAAAATTTGCATGATTCCATCTGGCTTCGTGCTGAAACTAGAATGCCTCAAAATCAAAATTCCATGGGTTGTCATGACTTCCTCAGATTCATGGGATATCCCCACTATACAAACCCGTATCAAAGAAATCCCTATTTGATGATGCCAAAACCACCATGGTTGATGGAAAATATGTGGATTTCTACAAATGCCAGCCCGGGAGACTGCAATTCGGGGTGGTTCACTGAGTCTGCCAGCCATAGACAAGCCAAGGCAAGCAACGGCCTGGGCGGTAGAGAAAACCTAAAACAAAACAAGGGTTGGCCAGAGAATCACGCATGTAGTACGATGTAAACATCCCATTGATGCTCGGGAGGTTCCATTGATAGTTGGGAGACAAAACCAAAGAAAATATGGGAAGAACATTGGGATGCAAGTGACAACCAATCAAAAATTGATGTTTAAAAAAAATGGAAATGAGCGTCCCTTTTGATGGTCCATCTTGAATTTCTCGGATTGTGTCCAAAAAAATCTGTACTACCCTCCTTGCCCATGAACATGCCAAAAGCTCACCAAATGGCTATGGATCAATACCTATAGATACCATTTTTAGTGGGATGAACATCCATTTACCAGCTATTTTGGGGTTCACTAGGTACCAGGGTTTTGACCCATCCCCAAATATTGATCAACCCAATTTTAGGTTTGCAGTCTTTGGGTTGCCCAAACCCACGTGTTCAACCAACGTCAACGGCCTCTTCAGAGCAAACATAAATGCGAATCAGCCATGGCATCGCACGTCGCAAGCCATGGGCGACCACGGATTTTTTTTGGGACGATTGATGTTGTTTTTGTTGGCTGGTTTCTGCTCTTGAAGTATGGATGTCCATGATGTCATGACCGTTTTTTTACTGGGACAACACCTGGCAAGATTTTTTTGAGATTTTCCACATGGAAAGTTACGGGTCGAAAAACATGTTTCATCACAACCACGGACATGTGAAGAGATTGGCAACTGCCTTGTGGGGGGAGTGTGAAAATCATCATGACAACATAGTTTGTCCTGTTTGTTTTGTGGACATTTCCCCGCCACATGGTTTAATACCGCGCTTCAAAGCTGCAGCCCATTGCAAATCAGCAGCCAACGCTATGTGCACCGCGTGTGCGTTGATGTTAGTTTTGGCCACAGTTTTGTCTGTTAAAAAAACCAGCTCCCAGCCCCATTGAAACACGCACTTCTTTGATATTTTATCCCCCTGCAGATTAAGTCATTACCCCGTACTCCCAGATTCTATAGGTATAAATTGGGGAGTGCGCCCCCCAACCTCTATAGAATCCACAAAACTAATCAAAATGACCTTCTATAGAATCTAAGCGTATGGGGTACTGACTTAATGCCCCATTTTCGTGGAGTTCCCCTCTATGGAATCAGAACCACCATATTTTGACATGTCCCAAGGGGTTACTTGCACATATGCCAAATTTGGTTTATGGATTCTATAGGGGGGTGGGCGTACTTCAGCTGAATGGGGCTAGAACCAAATGGGGAAAAACAACAAGGAAAGGAAGCAACTAAACAACAAAATAAGCAAAACAAACCATAATTTTCTGTATGATTGAGAAGTGATTATATTTGTGTGATTATATCAGCAAAATTTGTTTTGAATCGAATTTTAATGTGGTTCGATCAGAATTTGGATGTGTTTTTTGAGGATATGACTGTCCTTCCTTTTCCTTAATGTTTTTGGGCACATGATTAAATGATGTTTCTAATCACATGAAATGCATCTAAGACAATGAAACCAATTTCTTCTGACACTTCAATTTTGGTTGAACCTTGACAAAACATTCCCTACTAAAGTCGATATACTTTAGATTACGTTCAACATATTTGCCATCCTCTGTATTTAATTTTTAGATGTTTGATTTTGTGAAAATGGCATTGAATCATGTTGTGATGGAAAAATATATTTTCGTCAAGTCTTCATTTGGTGCAGCTGCTGTCGGACTTCTCCTTTTTAAACTTGGGGAGCGTCGAGGTGATTGCCTGACGGCTAGGGTTAGGCTCGAAATTGGTGAAAACTCATGTAAATTGTTGGGCAAAAGGGTGGATTGTGGGTGGGTCTTTTTGACCAACCTGCAGAAATCGTTTGACGATCCCGCCCACTCCAACCCTTAAGCAAAATGCTGCACACACAAATGACTTTGTTCAAATTCGACAAGACAATTCGATTTTGTTCCAAAAGCTGCATCGTCAAGTCTTCATTTGGTGCAGCTGCTGTCGGACTTCTCCTTTTTAAACTTGGGGAGCGTCGAGGTGATTGCCTCCCCCTTTCTCTTCACCTCTTCGCGAGCCAGTTTCACCTTCTTTAAGAATTTCACCAAGCTCTGCATTGATTTGCACGACTCATCCATTGAGGATTGCAAGAAAGGATGTTGAAGGAATCGTGACGGTATGTCAGCTATGTTCGCCTCCGACGGCACGCGTGCAAACCAAATGTTTGTATTGTAATTTACCTCCGTTTCAAGATGTTGCTTCATGATGACTTCAGCAACCAGTCCAAGGCCAGTACCTCTGATCAGCGCTGATCGCACGCTGTCATTGTCTCCATAGAGCACCGGGTATGCTGAGGCCAAAATATCGCCCCACATGTCCATAGCTACGCAACACGCCAGCAGTTCCAGTTCATATATTCTTGTTTCTTTGCTGTCAGCTCCCAACAGCTTGCACTCATCCGTTCCAAGCTTCAAAGAAAACCACGCTCGGCAATTTCCCAAGCAATCGACAAGAACTCCTCCAAGACCTCCTGAACACTGCTGACTTTCGAAGGAAGCGTCTGTGAAGATGCTCCATTCATTCACCGTATTTGCATCCACTCTTTTGGGGCCAGCACAACGCAAACGCTTTATCATGAGCTCCAAAACAGTTGCTAACTCCGCATCAACCACATTGCTAAAGCTGTATGCGTGATCCACCAACCTTTTGAGCACCAAAGCTCCCAGCCGTCCATGCAAGAATCCGTCTGCGAACCCAAGCCGTTCTTTCAGTTTTAAAGTTTCATGTCTGTTCAATGTCCGCTGCTGCCTACGCTGTGCTTTGAGTAATCAATAGGGGGGAGAGTAGGATCGCGTCGCGTGATACGCGTAAACTGAACCAATCGCAAGACTCGACCAGAAACTCCAAACTAAATTTCACATCACATCAAAATGACATGCCACAGAAAATCACTGCAGTTGAAACGACATGTGTGTAAACTAACATCAACTGAAAAGGCTGAAGCAGAAACCTTCACACGCATTTTGGACACGTCGGTGGTGAAGCCTGCACTCTGTGTCTTCACGTTGTACCATTGTACAAACGCTGTAGTTGTGTGAGCCTTCACACAAAGTTTTCAGCAATCCACCAAGCTTCCAAGTCTGTAGAATTGAAACACCCAAGCTTTCAAGTTTGTAGGATTGAAACATCCCAGTCTGTTGTCGTTCAAGATGCCTCACCCATGGGTGACAAATGCAGGCATCATCCCAAGGGTGGGCTGGGCGGGTACCCAAAAGTTTTCTCCAAGCCATCGCTCACGAAATATAAAATTCGTCATGAATCAAGTGCAAGTTGAAGACATCAAAACTGAATGTTTGACAAGCATTGACAGTCACAGTAAAATCCACAAGTCACCTCTGTTGAAGTCCAAGTACTGTAAAATTTCAACAAGCTCAAAAAGGCATCGAGAAAATGATTCCAGAGAAACTTTGCCACACTCTGCAAATTGAAAACCGGAATTTGTTTGTTGAGGTTGTTGTTCGGCAACGGAGTTAACCCAGCGACGAAGCAGTATCCAAGCAAAGCACCCACAACGAATCCCACCCACCCGCCCTGATACCCAAAGCGCCGCATAGACCCACAGGGCAAGCCCAGTGAAGCCTACGCTGTGCTTTGAGTAATCAATAGGGGGGAGAGTAGGATCGCGTCGCGTGATACGCGTAAACTGAACCAATCGCAAGACTCGACCAGAAACTCCAAACTAAATTTCACATCACATCAAAATGACATGCCACAGAAAATCACTGCAGTTGAAACGACATGTGTGTAAACTAACATCAACTGAAAAGGCTGAAGCAGAAACCTTCACACGCATTTTGGACACGTCGGTGGTGAAGCCTGCACTCTGTGTCTTCACGTTGTACCATCGTACAAACGCTGTAGTTGTGTGAGCCTTCACACAAAGTTTTCAGCAATGCACCAAGCTTCCAAGTCTGTAGAATTGAAACACCCACCGCAGCGAAAGACGAAAAGGAAGATTGGACATTTACCAAGGCGTCTTATCGACTCTCTTCCTCTTCTTTTCTGGTTCCTTCGGAATCGATGTTTTCGCCAACAAACGTGCCTCATCAAAATCTGCCTTGACCTGCCAAAGTGCATGTATGATCTCCGTCGGGATATCATCATATTCAACATGTAGCCTTTTCTCCATGTCCAGTTGTGTGAAAACAGAGTTAGTGATATCATCTGCAACCGTGTTCTCTTCACGGGGTCTCCATTTCAGCTTGACCACCGTCCTCGATCGTGCAAGAAGCGATGAAAGTTGCATGTTCACCAACATCAACGGCCACTTCGTGGTCGACCGCTTCTGAGATAAATATTCATTTGCTCTGTTGTCCGTACCTGCTGTCAAATGTAACTCAAGCTCCTTCCTAGAACGGGCATCTCCCGACCATCCAAACACAACTAATGCTGCAAGTGTCGCCAATAACTCGGCCGAAGTTGAGGCCCACTGTGACCCCTTCCCATGTGAAAATAAATATGGCACGTCGGACTCCGACAGAATAAGCTGGAACCATCGACCAGTTGATATTTCCCATCCACCAAGGACAACTGAAGTATCAGTGCACTTTGCATCTGTCCTGAATTGCTCACCTGTGAACGTGGCCGGCCTCTTCGCTGAGACCATGTAAGTTTCAGATCTGAACTCAGTCAGCAAATATGTCATTGTCAAGATCACCGCATCCGGAAGCTTCGCAACTGTGCTGCCGGATGTGGCTGATGCCCAAGCATACAATGGCGATAAATGCGGCTTCAGCCACACCAGTAACTGAGAGACGAATCCAAGCCGGCCAAGAAATTCAGAGAATTCACGAGTCACAACCACAAACCTCTTTTCCGCAGCGGTGTTGATCCATTTCACAAGCCAATCGCCCCTTCGTAAAGAAATCCCTACCTCATTGAGGTCATATCTCAGTTGGTATCCAACAAATTCAGAGGAGAACCCGCCACGAAACTTGTGATAGGCAAACGGCGTGCCAACCAGTTCAAAGGCCAAAATCCAAACCCACAAGTTCGTAAATTTCTCCCTGCCGACAAATGATCCGTGTAAATCGTCAACATAAACCAGATGAAGAAACCAAGCGTTCATCATGAGATGCCCTACAAATCGTCCAACCATTGCAAAGAGTTTCGCCCACCAGTAGGGCGCGCTTGAGATGCCAAAAGTTCCAACCCTGTTAACCCACACTGTAGGTGAGTCAGTGTTTGCTTTGCAACACATGTATGGCCAATCACAACGACGCACCTTCACAAGTCTGTGTGCCGCTTTAATGTCTGCCGACACACAAAAGGGAGCTTCCAAGGTTTCAACAGATTCCCTCACCACTGCCGCAACTTCAGCAGGTCCAGGGCATTGTATCTGATCTCTGTAAACAATGCGATTGTTAACTTGAACTGAATGTGTACCATCATGTAGTGGCCTGACGGTGCCGTCAGGCTTGGCAATCGCAGCCATGGCAGCAATCCTGATACGCTCTTCACCAAACTCCTGCTTCAACGTAGAAAACCTGGTCGGGTACATGCGCCCCAATGCCTCCTCTTCTCTGAACTTGGCTTCCAACTCAGTGGATGAGACCTGAGCTGATTGATAGTTGTTTGCAATGGGATTGAACTCGGAGTCATCAAGTTTTCTATGCTTCACTTTCTCAGGGTATACCTGAGGTGTCCGTGGCAGTGGTGCATCAACACCCAATGGTACCCCGGTCGCAAAACTATCCTCTATGTCCACCAGAGTTGGGGCGTCTGGATCTCCAAACACTGTGAGCCATTGTGACAGCCCCCTAAGCAAAAACGGTTGTCCCTCATCAACAATAAGTGCATCTGCTGGATCAGACAAAAGGGAAGCCCACCTCTTTCTCAATGCTGTAAGCTCTCCAACTGAAAACGGTGAGGATTCAAACTTTCCAGTAACCAATCTGAACGCTGCTGCCCTGACATCAGGAATGCATCTATGAACCATATCCTGCAGCAAAACAAAAGTCTCTGACGCCAACTTTCTCATTGTGTCCGACCTCCTCACACCTCTTGCAAGAGGTGGCCATCTCGTGGGTGAGCAAAGACCAAACCCATCCACAAATTCACGAGAGCGGCCATCCCATTCAACACTAATAGGGCGGCCCCTGTTCAAGCATGCTTCCATATCGAAGCCCTGTGTGTCATGTACCACGTCATCATCGTTTTCAGCACATGCATGGTTCTGAGCCTCTCCTGGGGCCGTATCTGTTGTTGGCGCAGCTGTATCCCTGCAAAACGCCGCTGTGTGAGAAGGCATAGCACTTGACTCAAGTGGTGCCGCTGCTGACTCAGTTGACTCAACGTTGGAGGCTGTTTTGTGAGAAGGGGCAATACTTGACTCAAGTGGGGCTCCAGCCCCACTTGACTCAAGTGAAGCCAATTGCTTGCCATTCTTTGCACCCCCTCCGGAGGTTGCGACAGCACCAAAAATGGCATCTGCAATAAATTTGCACATACCTGGAGGGTATGCTGCACTTGGACTTGTATTCCAACGGTTTCCAGTCTTTCCCATAAGTTTGTACGTGTGTCTGTGACCGCATTTTTGTGGAAGTGGACCCAAATACCTGTTAGTCTTGTCAAACTTTGGAAACCCCAAGTAGCACCTGCGGTCTTGAACCTGAAAATTACACATCAGTCGTGTAGGCTTGGATGTCAATGCGCCAAATTGGCACTGATGAATTGCTATTGTGATACCGTGGCACCATGCAAGTAAATTGTGGATCTCCTCCCATTGCCATATGGAGCCTGGGACCTCACCGTCAACGATCCCTAAATCTTCAGGGTGCTCAAGCAAAAACCATCCGTCATGCTGTACAACTACATAGCAAGCATTAATGCACTGCAAGACAAACTCATTGGCCTCGTTGACGATTTTCGCATTAACATTTGAAAGCCATGGGAATCCCTTAGGCCATGTGCGACTTCTGAGTGGCCTTGGGCCAGGATACCGTCGCCATTGAAATCGTGCACGTGAAAAGGTGTTGCACGGAGGACTGACGATCAAAAACCATCCTCCCTCCTTGAGTGTCTCACATATCTGGTCCCACAGCTCTTTGCTTCGCAAATCATGTGTCTCAGAACGTTCGATGTCAAATTCCTGCAACTGCAATCGAATCTTTCCAGCTTCCTCCAGCTTTTTCAAGAAAGTGCTGACATCCGATTGCCGCCGCTTCCCAGCAAACAAATAGAGAACCTTTACCAGCACTGGCTGTGCCGGTGGCCCGTTTGGCACGCCACCCCGGCTGGGATGGGTTGGCTGCCCATCATGTCACGAGCCAACAACTTCTTTGTGTTTGATGGCGGGATGGTCGCCATAACAGCCCTTGACCCGGCACTGATGAACTCGATCACATTTGCCATTGCAAGTGCCTGTATTGCAACCAAAGCACAACTCACGATTGTCTGGTGTCCTCCATGCCAGCTGCAAACCAACTAGCTCTTTACGGATCTCCTTTCCCTTGCCTTTTGAGCCTTTGCCCTTTCCCTTTTGTGGTTGAAATTTTCCGCCACCCTTGCTGTTGAACCTTTGAAACTTGTTCTGCTGAAAGCCCTCGGAGTGCTGTGACATGGAAGCGCGTAACGCAACAGGGGTGGTGAAAAACGTCTCCTTGAGCTCCGGGTCATGGATCACCCGGTGCAAAGCATCGGCAAGTGAGATACCATCTCTGACAATCATCTTGCAAGCCTCTTTACGCAACCTGTGCTCAAAGCTCAACACGATAGACCAATCGGGCTTGACTCTCTGACTGCCCTCACCATGAAGTGAAGGGACTTGGATGTTGTAAACCTTCTCACCCAAGATGAAGTCAACGAACTTGTTGAATGGGGCAGCTGTCAAACCATGCAACCAGGATTTTGATTTGTGCCTGGCTGCCATGCACAACCATGCATTCATCTCGACTCGCATCACTCTGCGATACTCTTCCGTGGTCGCCGGAAGCTTCGATTTCACCTTGGTCTTTGTGATCCTGATATGTCCTGATGAATCCAAGCCAGTCTGAAGCTCTGCCGTTTGTGAGTCACGCTTGCTGGTTACTTCGTCCAACGACGAAGCCTGTGGCTCATTTGTTTCTGTCTCTTCGGCCTTGACTGAAAGATACTCAGCAGAAGGGGCTTCTGCCTCTTGTAATGGCCCATAGACCAACTCCACTGCTTTCAACATTGCCTGCCTCTCGTGGACCTGCAAGGCCCGTGGCTGGCCAAGAACCTTTGCCTCTGCACGAATCTCCACCTCCTTCGAGATGTATTCCTGGGCAACCTCCCAGGCTGAAACCACTGCAGCTGTCTCTGCCCTGCTCTCTGGCGTATCCTGTGGAATCGCAAAATCATTCAAACAGGCCCTACGCACGTCTGCACGTGTGTCACCAACTGCCCTAAATTTCCTCATGTTGCCATACCTCCGAGCAATGGCAACCTGTCCCTCCAAAGAGACGCCAGAATCTGACAAAACAAATTGTAAATCTGAATCCATATGCGCAGCAACATATTCCTTTTGTTGTGCTTCGTCCATGGCAACCCACGCTGGCGGTCTAAACCCTGTGCCAACGCGTGCAAACTATTGAAATACAAGACATCGTTTCATGAGAACACCCATGGACAAAATCTCACAAAGGAGGATCAGGAAACGCATTGGAAAAACAACGAATCCAAGCGCTTAAAGTGGAGAGGTTCAAAATGGAAAGCATCAGAAAATAAACTTCAACCAGAAAGTGACAAATAGAATTTGAATGAGTTTCAATGCCAATGTCTTGACAACGGCCTGAGCCCTTGGTTGTCTTCGCAACGTCTAAACGCATAATCCGGCTGCCACAACTGCTGAATAACCCTGACATCAATGTATTTGAAACTCAGTCAAGTCGCCAACACACGCAAATCACAAGCACATGAAACACAAATTAAAACTCTCCAACAGTGTGAAATCCAATCGAGTTCAGACAGGTGAAAAGCTTTGGTCCCAATGCACAATCAAAACAACAGCAAACAAATCAACACAAGTGGTCTAAACAACTCCCAAAATCCATGTGAACAGGGTCACACATGGATGCGCTCACTTTCCCTGGGAAGTGAGCGCATCCTTTTTTCGGCACCGTTGTTTAGATTCAGGAAATAAAGAGTTATCACCACGTTGGGTGAAAAACCTCTTAAGCTCTTCAGCGCCTGACGTTTAGTCTCCGGCCTGTTCCCCTTCAGGGCTATCGTCACCGTCAGTGGACGATGAGGAAGCAGTCGAACTTGACTCCTCAGGAGTGTCCTTACCCGCTTCCTGCAGCATACGCTTTTTGCATGCACGACAAATAGAATCGAACTCTTCGGAAGTAACTGTGTTACACAATCTGACTTCACAGCAATTGTCTGGTTTTACAAAGCACCCAACCAAATGCAGCCGTCTGTGTCCAGCCCTCCGGGACACTGTGATGAAGAACTTGTGAGACTCCTTGGATTGCAAGTGTTTCGCATTCTCTGTGACCTGTGCCTGAACTGCCATTTCAAGCTCAGCGTTCTCAACCGCTGCGCCATCATCAATATCAACCCAGTCATCATCTCTCACTTCCAAAGTGGGGTATTGCATACCCAAACAAGTGCGGCCTGTGATGGCCATCATGACACTGTGCCTCTTTTTGATCCTCATTGGATTGGCTCCACTGTTCTCTGCCGTTTGACAGAGGCTTGTAATGGCTTCGTCCTCAAAGTACTCTTCCTCATGACCCTCAACAATTGAGCGGTTGACTGCACGTTGAATTTTGTAAACAACCTGTCTGGCTGTCCTGACATACTCCTCTGATGATGTCATGCCAATTGCCCAACGTCCCAAGTATGCACGCATGTCTTTGCTGAATCCTATGAGTGCAGCCACTGATGTCAGAAAGTTCCGTGGGCTATGTCCAGAAAAATGCATTTCCAAACCGTCAGGAAGAAGCAAAGAAGATCCCATCAGCTCCCAGTAAGCCTGCCTCCTGAGAGGGACCCTCAACGTGCTCAGCAGCTTCCGTATCATCGAACTCAAGTCAGAGGGCGTTGCAAATTTACGCCTAACAGACTGCCAATCATGCCGTGGTTCCATCACCAGGTAATCACGCCTGTATGAAAACATTTCTGATTCCCAGAGCCTGTAGCCAATGCCAAGCCAATCAACTCCAGTCAGTGAAATGGTGCGATACACAAACCCTGCAATCTCCTTCTGCGGTTTGTCTGGCCCTGTCGTTTTCGTTTTACCCATGACCACCTTCAAGCCAAAGTTCGTGAGAATGGTTCTGTGGGGTAAAATTGACTGCACATCATCGCAACGCAATGCAGCCCAAACCATGACCAAAACCACCCATGAAAGTGCTCGTGCAAACACCGGTTGTGACTCATCTTCAATTGTAAGTTCCAATGAAAGCAACATCGCAACTGTATACATCTCTGCTGGACGTCTGGGTGGACTCTCAGCTGAGAGCTCAGCCGTCCACGACTTCACATGGCCGACCCAAAGGGGGTCCTTGGAGATCTGCTGGTCCTCCGGCACACGTCCCAGCACCTCCAACATGTTCAAAACAATGGCAAAAGACTCAGGTACTGTCTTACCACAACCATCGTCTACTCGAAACTGTAAATAGTCGATGACGTCCTTGCATGACAATGGAAAAAGTCTCCCACGATGCAGCTCCAACCAAGTCTCAAAAGGTTTCCAACTCTTGTATCTGTTTTTCAATGTATTTGCACGTCTCGCTGCAAAGAGATGGATCCATGCACTCGCCGGATCATCTAAGGTCTCAACCAGTTTAACCACAGGCAGCTCAGCATTCTTGATGACACCCGCCAAAAGGAAAGAATACTTGCGACGCTCTGCATCAAATTTCTTAGCCCTAGCATCATGAGGTTCATCCTTGTACTTACGCTGTTTCTTCTTTGATGCCAATTCCAAAACTGTGACAGAGCTGGACTGAGTGATGGACATGAACGAAGTCTGCAAGTCAGCTGAACTCCCAGGTGGCAATCTGTAAAGGCCATCTGAAACTGTTTGTGACCGTAACCGTTTGAAGGCAGGGACATTGTTACTTTGCCAAACCATCATTGCAGCAGTTAAGTTCCGGACAGCTTCATCAACCATGTCAGGAAACAATGCTTTGACAAGTGAAGTGCAATCTGCATCATCATCAAATGCTGCTTGTAAACTCAACGGAGTCCTAAACAGCCTCTGAAAAACTAGCAATGTGACAGGGTCCACACTAGGCCAGTCGCCCTCCATTGCATCCGTACAAGAACTGCCGCGTCCAATCTGTATTGGATGGTGAAACGTCCCTACCTACCCAAAAGTTTTCTCCAAGCCATCGCTCACGAAATATAAAATTCGTCATGAATCAAGTGCAAGTTGAAGACATCAAAACTGAATGTTTGACAAGCATTGACAGTCACAGTAAAAATCCACAAGTCACCTCTGTTGAAGTCCAAGTACTGTAAAATTTCAACAAGCTCAAAAAGGCATCGAGAAAATGATTCCAGAGAAACTTTGCCACACTCTGCAAATTGAAAACCGGAATTTGTTTGTTGAGGTTGTTGTTCGGCAACGGAGTTAACCCAGCGACGAAGCAGTATCCAAGCAAAGCACCCACAACGAATCCCACCCACCCGCCCTGATACCCAAAGCGCCGCATAGACCCACAGGGCAAGCCCAGTGAAGCAAAACCTGCTCCAGCTGTTCGGTCAGGTCAAGGATTCGCTTCTCAGTGTTCTTAACCTCCAGGATTCCATCTTTGGACTCCCTAAGGTCAAACGAAACTCCCAGGGCCGCACAAACGTCCGAGAAGGAGGTTGCTTTCTTTCCTTCCCTTGCATATTCCCAACCAGTAAACAAAAAGACCAACTCAAGACAATTCTTGGAAGAATCTTGCAGATCTGGGCCGCTTGCAAGAATAAAATCGTCGTAGAAATTCGTCGTCAACAGCCGCGGCCCTTTGCACGCAATGAAGTGCAACATTTTGGCAAGCCTCAAGAAACTGTAAACACTGTGGGTCGCTCCAAATGGTAATGTTCGTGAGCGGTAGATTTCTACCGAATCAAGCTCATGATTGTAGATGCTGAAGTAGGCGTACTTCAAGTGGTCCTTGCGCACCGGTATTTGGCGGTACGCTGCTTTAAGGTCATACGTCTTTGCAAGAAGGCTACTGTCAGCTCCAGCTCCTTTCATCTGCTCGAAGTAAGCTTTGATTACTGCTACAAATGTGTCGATCATGTGCAAGTCCAGTTTGGAGTTCACAGTGCAACTATCATTGACTCCTGAAACGGAGTAGTCATCAATCATTCGAACTTTCTCCCCCTGAGCTAGGGGGAATCTTCGAGACACTGTTGCACCTTTTTCAAGCTGATCCAAACGCCAAGGGCCATCTGCCCAACCTTTGCTGACCTCATCTCTTGTTTCCTGCAGCACTGCCGCATCCAATTCAAGAGATGAAGAACTCTTTGTCATTTTCAAAACAAACATGTTCCTCTTTTCAGCGTTTTCTTCCAACTGCTCCAGTGTTGAAAGGCAAGGTTTGTATGCCTGTTGAAAAACTTTTGCTCCCTCAATTTCACCAGCCAGGGTGGACCCTTCCTCAAGAATCTTGAGGGCTTCAGTATCTTCATATTGTAAACTCTCTAGGATTTCCTTCATCAACCTGATACGTTTTTTCAGCGTGGAGGGGTGCCGCATTTTGGCTCCCATCATCTCTTCTCTGTCAAGCGCTGCTGCACGCTGAAGCCACCGCTTGCACCAAGAAAGTCTGTGTTCAGAAACTGCAGCGGTGGAGTTTTGCACATGAAATTCTATTGTCTCCGCCAGGTCTTGCGGAATCAACTTGCAAAAATTTGCTGGGTGTCCCCTTTCCACTGCTTTCGAAATAAATTGTTCGGGTGTCCATGGCATGCCAAACGCAACTTCGAAACAATCATCGCCATTTTGCAAACCCCCCTGAACAGAAAATGGTGAATGAGTGGCAGTTCTTCGTAAAAACCTGGCAAATTGTGGGACCTGTGCAGACATGCCAGATTCCGTGAAAACACTCAAAGGCTTGTCAAGTTTGCATTGCAGTGAACATGGGACATCAGACGGCTGCTGAACATAGAAAACTGCAACTGAGGCCACATCTGAAATCAAAGGTGGGAGTTTGCTGCGCCGTGACTGCTGTTGCGCTGAAATTCGAGCCGTCTGCATTTCAAAAACTCTCTCATTTCTCACATCAAAAAGTGAATCAGGAAGTACCTGCATGCCTTGCCTTTGCAACTGCCGTACTACGCACTGAACCAAAGCATGACAAAACTTCCGGGGATATTGCGCTTCTAAGCTTGTGGCAAAAACTTCATTACCTTCATCATCCAAAGTTTTTCCCCATGGCAAGTGGCTGTGACTGTTGTCGCATTCGACATCCATCTCGGATATCGCCGAGAAACTTGCTGCCAGCTTTGTCCATTTCGGACGAGACCCTCCCATCATACACATTTGTGTGTTGCTGAAGAAAATGTCAAACGCATCCAGCAACTGTAGGAAGGGCTCGGTAAGCCAGAACAAACTCCTCGATGGGTTTTCAAGCGTCACCAGGATTCCTAAAGAAGCGCAGTAACTGAAAAGCTTGCAAGTTTCCCAATACATTGAGTTCGCCAAATCTACACGGTGCTTTTCTGCAGCATTCAAAGTTGGCAAACCCATTGGAAATTGATCTGATCTGAGAGCACGAGGTCCACCATTGCGGATCTGTCGCGCCCTGGAGCAAGTTCCACAAACCGGCGCCATATGCAGCCAAACAAGAAGCGGTGATTCCAGCCAGTGGTATAACAGAGCCCTATCCTTAGGATCGAGGATGTCAAACACAAAAATTGTAGATCTCGCGCCCCTCTTGCGCATCTTGTCAAGCGCAAGTGAGCCTTGCATCCCAAATTGTTTTGCAACTGAGCACAACGTTGCTGTCCCGCTGTATAGTTCAATCATGAAACATTGGTTCAGCAAGGTGTCAGCCCAGTCTTTCGGACACCGTCAAGAAGCCTTCTTTGGATGAGCACTAAGTCCATGTGGCTGGAGACATTTCGGTTCTGCACAAAGGTGCCATCCTTTAGGGCATCGTTCTCCATCTCTTGCTGCGTCGCAACCGCCTAAATTGTAGGCGAAACACAAGGGGTCACCATTGCCCGTCCTGTGCCACTTATTTCTCAGCGCCTGAGGCATGGGTGGCGCCTTTCCTTTCTTTCCTTTTCCTTTACTCTTTCCTCCACCAAAGTTTGCTCCATTGGGCTTTGTAGCAGCGCCCGTGGTGTAAGGCGCTGACCTGGCACTAGCTGCAGGTGCACTGGTCTGCCTGGCCAATGGGGCCAAATACAACGTAATTGTAGGGTCACCCCTGAGCTCAAGAAGTCTTTCTCCAAGCAGGAATGTTCCATCATCCCCGGGCCTCACCGTTGGCATGACTGATGCAAGCTTTGTGAAGGCAGCTTTGTCACAAAGCATCAGTTGATGAAGCGATGGTTTGCTGTACCCAGGAGGTGCCTCTCTTTGAAGCGCCTGCAACAGAAAGTTGGTCCATGTTGCATGCTGCTCGTATGTCATGAGACGAGCAAACTTGTATGCAATGCCTCTCCTTGTCATCGCGTTCAAAATCTGTAGTTCACTGGCCGTTGGAGCAACAAGCTTGTCCTCCTTGTCCTTCACAATCAATGAACCACCTTCGAAGGCTAATTCCTTCGTTTTGGTTCCACCTTGAACTTCTTGTGCCCTCGAAGTGCAAGCTGCAGGTTCGAGGTATTTCAAAGTGTTGGTCTCGAAGATCTGACAGGTCTTCTCCAGCAAGCTATGTGATGGCTCGCTTTCGTCAACTATCATGACTCCAGCTAGCTCCGTACGGATTGCAGCCATACGGGTCTCTCTTTCTGCCGATCCAATTTTCCTTGGTGCCCCATCTTCCTTTTGATCAACGATCTGCCTCAAGCTCGCTACCAAAATGGTCTGAGCTTCGAATGCCAGCCTTCGCACTGCATTGTTTTCTGCTATCACCGGAGCACGGCCTAGGGCGTTGAGGAGGAAGGTGTCAACGTCCTGAGAAGATATTGGTTGGCCTGGCTGGCCTACTGAGAAGGCTAGCTTTGAAAGAGTTCCAGCGCCTGCTTGACGCAAGCTATTGACAACTTGCTCACTGAGTCCCACTTCCCTTGCACGTGAAGAGAATTGTGCCTCTGATTCCAGTAAGAGACTCATTGCACTAAGCTCTCAACGGGTTTGGCTAAAAAGTGTTCTCATGCATGTTGAAAAATTGAGTCTATTATGCCTTAGTCAATGTACAACTAAGTTCACGACGAATGCACTGTCTCAGTTGATGTAAACATGTCTCTCAGTACATTTTGAGTGGCTTTCCACAACTGCTCTGTTTGCTTTGCTCCTTTGAGCCATCCGCACTGCAGCACTTTGCAGTTCACAACATCTGTCACTCTGTCCGGCTGTCCGGAAAATTGAAACTGGCTTTCCAGAACCTCTCAACTCAAAAATGAAACAAAATTCTGAAACTCTTGGAGTGGCTTTCCACGTCTTAATGAAACGAGTTGAGATCATCCGGCTTTCCAGATGTAATCAACCAAACTCAAACAACATTCATCAAGATGTTTGCTCATGGCCGTGAAACGCAATGACTCATTCATGAAATCAAGCAAACAAACCAGTTGAAATCACAACACACAAAACAACAACACGGAGGAACGTGCAAGAAATGGAGAGACATGTGCAAACTGAGGTAAAGACATCTGGCTCAAGTTGAAAGACCCGAAAATGCATGCAGCTTTCTGCTGAACCGTGACCAATGACATTCTTTGAAAATGATTCTCAATAAAATCGCAATTGCAATCAATGCTTCACTCTGCACTCCTGGACATCTGTTTTTTCTCACTGTGCAAACTCATGCAACTAAGAGTCAAGCGCTTTGCGTCTCTTTGCAGAGTCTCTCAAGGCATCAACCACAGCGTCGACTGTTGTTAGTCGGTTGTGGTCACGCACAAAACAACGCATGCATTTTGGGTACTTGAAATTGATCTCTCTTGCTGTCTCCGTGTAGTTTTCGTTCAGTTTTGTTTTGCAGACAGTGTTCTGGGCTCCAGACCGAGCTCGATGCATGATCTTGCTCTTCTTGTGCACATGAAAACTGTAGCCCTCTGGAACTTTCTCTGAGTACACAGGAATAGGCATAGCATTTGAAAAGTGTTCGTCTGAGCTATCATCATCATCGCTGCTACTGTCAGTTGAACCACTGCCAGATGAGCTGTCAATGGCAATCAGGCCTTGGTCTCGCACGACATCGCCAAATGGGGCGGTTTCACTGGAAGCAATCATGCACAGGTCATGCAAGGAAGTTTCAACCTTGCACTCCGTGGGAGCGTCTTGCTGCTCCCTGCTGGGCTCTGCTGCAGGCATCGGTGTGCTTGGAGCATGTGCCTCAACCATCGGCGTCCTGACAACGCTTCTGTGACCAGAGTCAAATGCAGCTGTGATTTCATGCAAAGGCTCTTTGTCAGACCTTGGGTCCAAGCCAACTCGGATCTTTTTCAGAAGCATCTGTAATTTGCGAATTGCTCCAGTTTGAAGTTCCCTCGAATAAACAATGTCTGACCCATTCAAAGCAGTTGCATGGTGACTCAAGGTCGCACGATGCTCCTTGCTAAATCCAGCTCTTGCAGCCCAAACGCACAACGTCACTTTCATTGAGTGCGCTCTGATGGTACTTGCCCCGCTGCACCCAGCCAAAAGTCTCTTGAGCCATGCCGCTGCCTCACTGGTGCTCAACGGCCTCAGGCACCAACCACCCTCCTGTTTGGGCGCTGGGAGGAGTGGCCCAAATGGCACTTTTTCCCAGTCTGTTCCCTGGCTGTGACATAGTTCTATGAAAGTTCCCAGCCAGTCACCATGAACAATTCCTTCTGAAGGAATAACAAGCGGTAGGAATTGCTCCCTCCTGAGGCCTGTCATGCTCGTTTTGTGCTCAGCAGTGTAAAGGTCCATTGTTGCATTCCTCTTGTAACCATCATACTTGATATGATGTATGTAACGCAAATCACTCCACCTTGCCCTTGCATAGATGGCACAGAGAAACGCTCCTGCACCTATGCGGTCTATGTCATTTGCGCCCTTGTCCAAGATCTCATGCAAACGCTGTAAGTGTTCCACCTCCAAAGGCGGCGCTTGATTCAAAGGCCCTTTCTCTCTCCTCTCCACTGCTGCAAATCCATTCAGTCTCTTTGAGGCAAGAATGTCATCACTGCGGTAGAGTCCCAACACAAACTTGCAAAACCTGATAGTTTCCAGGAAAGTTCCACTGACAGTGTATCCACGTTTTGAAGTCCTTGTCAAAGCCCTAAGATGTAAGAAATATCTCCAAACATCTTCTTCTGATAGTGGCAGTGGACAAACGTAAGTGTCAGACTCAAGGCAAGTTTTGTGAAACCAAGCAATGTATTGTTTGAGACTGGAGGCCCGTTTCAAAATGGTTGAACCAGACTTTGTACCAAAAACTGCACGCAACGTCTGTTCAGCAAGGTCTCCAGTTGGATCTTCCTGCAGGTCTGCTGAAATTTGCTCCCCAACCTGTGATGCCTTCCAATCCAGTGACAAGATTTCCATCCAATGAGATGCTGCCAGAGACATCTGAGCACGTTTCTGATCAATGTAGTCCAAGTCCCTCAAACATTGTACAGCACTCATGTAAGCCGGCTGAGGTGACGACTGGGTGAGGTCCACAGCACTGACAATTGAAGACTCACGGTTGCGTGTGAAAGAATCTAAATCGGTCATGTCCACGGGTCCATGCAACATGTCAGGTAGAGGGTCATCACAAAACACTGCTCTCATTGTTCCTGTTTCCCATGGCAAAAGGAGAGATGGGTGATGCTGCAAATTGGTTGCAAAAGAGTGAGCAAGCAGTGAGTTCCACGCAGTTCCACTCAAAATGTTTTCTACAGCGTTACCCGTTGAGGATCCAGCGTCATGTTCTTGAGGCTCAGGCAAATCGAACCCACTGCAAACTCTCTGAAAACCAAAGTCATTCTGTGAACAATCTGAAGCATCATGCAAGACGTCAGCATCATCATCGTGAAAGTCGTTCCCATGCAAATCCATGCCATCCCAAATGCTAGCATCATAAGGTTCACTCAGTGTTTCGACATCCCTACCAGCATGTTGAGGTTCAGCTTCAAGGTTTATGACATCAGCTCCGGACGCATTGAAATGCCCATTGGCTTTCTCCATGGCATCGACTACAACTAAACCTAAGACCCCCTATGATCTTTTTGACCAACCTGCAGAAATCGTTTGACGATCCCGCCCACTCCAACCCTTAAGCAAAATGCTGCACACACAAATGACTTTGTTCAAATTCGACAAGACAATTCGATTTTGTTCCAAAAGCTGCATCAACTACAGCAAATGTGGTTTATAGAATCAGAACCTACCAGTGGAAGCCACATGAACCCACTAGAAAATCAGAAACCAATGGTCAAGACCACATTAAACCACTATACACTTAGAACCCTAGGAGAACAAAAGATGCAAATAAATTGGCAAATAGGAAAACAATGAAAAATGAACAAATCAAACAAAAGTCAAAATCACGTTTTTTTGGTTCATCCATTGTTAATTGTTCCTATTTACATTATTTTGTAAACTCCCAAGGTGTGCCTGTGATTCAAACATATCACTAAAATGTAATAAAATACAGTAAACAAAACTAAACAATATGTAAACGAGGCAAGCGGTTCAATGGGAAGTACAACATGTACTATGGGGTTGCATGCTGGGGTCCATGTAAATTTCCATTGTGGGTTCAACGAACACACCTGGGGGAAACAGCAAGGTTGAGGAGGATCTTATGGTTCAAGAATCACAAAAAAGGAAACATTCATATCATCAAGTATTGTTGACAAGAAGATACAATTTTTTAAAGCAAGATGTTACCTCCTATAGAATCAGAACCACCATCTCGATGATATTTAATCCATAACCCTCAAAGAGGCCCTCTAGAGAATCAGAAACAAGAAATCAAAACTCTATAGAATCTGAAAGTCAGTTTCCAAGACAAGAAAAGGGCGTAATAAAAAACAGCTTCTCTGGAGCACGTGCTCCAGGATTTTGTAGAGGTAATTGGCAAGGGGATGATATTTTGATCATTTGGGCACGCCAATGAATCGAGGCCTTCGAGCTGCAACTGACAATCACACGCGGTTGCACCTGGCCTTGCGAAATCCGGATCTGCTGCCGGTATCATCCCAACTGCTGGTTCCAACATTCCTGGCTAAGCAGATTGCCAGCAAACTGTCAAGTGTCTGGAAACATGTACGGGCATCACCAAGTGCAGAAACGGAATAAGGAGCCCCGCAGGGCACGATACGCATATTTGTTGTTCATACTGTTTCAAATCATTCTTGGGTACACCTCATGTCTCGACACCTTGGGATCCTTGGGATCCTTGGGTTTGGGTCCGCGCTGCCCCCTTCACTGCACAATGACCACATCTTGATGGCACAGTAGCGCAGAGAGATCACTTTTGGATACTTTTGGTTCATATGTGTGCGCCCCGAAAAATGTTTGGCAACACACACACACCCACGCACACGCACTTACTTCCCTCGGCATTGCAAACTGCCACTGCCACAGGTGAGCAACAATTTGGGCATGCAATCTGACATAGTCTGATAATCAAATACGCTACTAACCCAAAACAGAAGGTGACAAGTCTCTCCTCCATGGCGTTCGGACTGCATCTGGCACTCTGGCTCACCAATCAGGCAGAAATCATCTGAGCTTGAAGCAACATTCATCTCATGAAAAAGCAAGTGGACACATTCAACAGCCAAGGACTTGGTTCCATATCACTGATATTCCACATGGTGGGAATTTGACTGAGCTTGAAAACATTGTCACGAATGGCATCTTGCACCCACAAAATCTTTCCACTCACATGCTTTACTTTTCCAGTCCCCTGCCTCATTACAAGCTGTCTCCCTGAAGAGGAATCGATGCACATCATATGTTCAGCCTCACAGTTGGCTTCAACCCTTGCTCTTTTGGATTCATGGTCATCAGGCGCGATGTCGTGCTGTCTGGTCGTAGGGCTTGTCCTAGGACTTGCAGGTACTGCTTGGAAAGCTTCAGGCGTTGGTGGCACATCCACTTGTGATCCCATTGCAGCAGAAGAAGGGCCTGAAGAGACCATAGCCTGCGGTGCCATCTCCACAGGTGTCTCAGACTGTTGTTCACCTTCTTCAACATCACCGTCAAAGATCCCGATTGGGTTGGAAATTGCACTCGTTTTGGACCATCATCAAGTGGTTCACCAGCCTCTGGCGCTGTGAGGGTTGCCTCAGGCTGTTGTACTTTGTCATGCACCATCATCTCAGTCAGTTCAATGTCCTCACGGACTTCCTCCAAATGCTTTTGTCTCACTGCTTCAGCATCCTCGTCAAAGAATGCACTCGGTTCCACTTTTCCAGCAGGAGCAGAAAAACTTGCTGGTCAACGCTCCAGACTGAGCACGTGTAGGCACTATGCGCCCACCAAAACTAGTTTTATATTCCCACGACCAGTATCTGAAGTTCATGTAAAAGGGTAAGTGCCCTCTCCAAACTGTTGAGATTCTCCTGGTGCTTCTCGTGAAAACCAGCTCATGGCCATTGAAAAGAATGTATGTATCCTGTGGGTCTGTTTTTCCCAAGAAAATCATTCTACGCCATCTCGCAGTTCCCTTTCCAGTCACTTTTCCAAAACCAAAAACAGGCTCTCCAAAATTGCAAATTGCACCTCCATACTCCTTCTGACACAAGATCTCGTTCGGTGTAGCGCCTCTTGTTTGGTGTGAAGTGGTTCAGGAAGAAACTTGCATGTCTGAATGCCCAGCTCCACCAAGGCGAATTGCTCGAAAACTCAACACCTACTTGTTCTGAAAGAAAATGCATCAATGTTCCAAGGGCGGGCCCACCCCCCTAGGGGGGGCTTAAGGGGGGGCTTAAGGGGTCATGAAGGGTGCCCCCCCTTCCCCCCCCTCCCCATTGAAGGGTGGAAGCCTTTAAGGGGGGGGCTTAAGGCTTAAGGGGGGGCTTAAGGGGGGGGCTTAAGGGGGGGCTTAAGGGGGGGCTTCAGGGGCGTTTCAAAAGGGGGCTTCAAGAGGGCTCCGCTGCTACTACTACTACTGCCTACTACTACTGCTACTACTACTACTACTACTACTAGTACTACTACCTACTACTACTACTACTGCACGACTACTACTACTACCTACTACTACCCTACTACCCTACTACCCTACTACCCTACTACTACTACTACTACTACTACGACTACTACCTACTACCGTACCCTACCTACCCTACTACCTACTACCTACTACCTACTACCTACTACCTACTACCTACTACCTACTACCTACTACCTACTACCTACTACCTACTACCTACTACCTACTACCTACTACCTACTACCTACTACCTACTACCTACTACCTCTACTACTACCTACTCCCTACTACCTACTACCTACTACCTACTACCTACTACCTACTACCTACTACCTACTACCTACTACCTACTACCTACTACCTACTACCTACTACTACTCCTGCTGCTACTACTACTACTACCACTACCACTACCACTACCACTACCACTACCACTACCACTACCACTGCTACTGCTACTGCTACTACTACTACTACTGCTACTACTGCTACTACTACTGCTACTACTGCTACTACTGCTACTACTGCTACTACTACTACCCCTTCAGCCCCCCCCTCGAAGCCCCCCTTGAAGCACCCCTTGAAGCCTCCCTTGAAGCCCTCTTTGAAGCCCCCCTTGAAGCCCCCCTTGAAGCCCCCCCTTAAGCCCCCCCTTAAGCCCCCCCTTAACCCCCCCTTAAGCCCTTAGCCCCCCTTAAGCTCCCCTTAAGCTCCCTTAAGCCCCCCCTTAACAAGCCCCCCCCTTGGACGCCCCGCTTTGGAAGCCCCCCTTAAGCCCCCCTTAAGCCCCCCCTTAAGCCCCCCCTTCAAGCCCCCTTCGTGTGAAGGGTAGTGGGCCCCATATGAATGTTCCAGCCAATGGTCTGATTCTTCCAACTGCATGCTCTGAACAAACACAACTGCTACACCATCAAGTAAGTGAGATTGTGCTGCTGAATCTCGGCCTCTGAAGGTGGGACTTTTCAAGTTCATGGCCTTTGGAACCCTTGACAACTCCTTCATGGAATGTTCAACTGCAGAGTGAATGACTTTAAGTTCCTGCTGTTTCTGATGTTTGACAAGTCGTGTGAAGCATTTGACTTTGGAACCTGATGTGCTCAAGCTGTGATGAGTGCATCCAGCTTTCAACGCTTTCAAAGAACTCTCTGGAGTAAGCTCAACACCATTGACCATGACCATGTTGGCTAAAACAAAATTCGTCTCTCCAGTGGCACATCAGCTCCTCCTGAGCCTTCAACTCCATTCTCTCACCTCATCTTCTGATGCAATTGCAACATCAGCTGGCTGTCAGCTTCAGGAAAAAGCGTAATCCTCACCAATTAGTGTTACTCTGTCTGTAATCACAGTCAAAAGGTCACGTGGGCCCTGAATCCACAGATTTCAGCTCCTAGCTCAATCAGTCTGTCAAAGTCTTTTGCAAAGAAGAACACGCCATTCCCAACATAGTGAGAGCGAAATTGAAACTGTCTTAGGAAAATTAGCGATTCCCATGTGTAATTATAAAAGGGCTGAATCGAAAATTTTCAAATTGATCATTCAGCATGTTAACATTCTTTAACAAGTGGCTGAACGTGGTCCTTTTTTTGATTGACCCTTGATACAGATGCATGGCATAGATGTTTTG